GCTCTGGAGGACCAGAGCTGAGCAGCCCGCGCCAAGGGGCCCTTCGGAGCGGGGCTTTGCTGCCACCTGCTGGCTGTCGAGAGGCACGCTCTTCGCTCAGCGGAGCTCCACACAGACGCCGCCATCCGGGGCCGGATTAGACGTTCAGTCGCAGGTGTGCTCGAGGATCACGTCCCCTGGTCCAGGACCTTGGTCTTACAGCTGAGAAAAGGTGGACCAGTAATGGTGACGGAGGCTAAGAGCAGAAAATATGGGTAAGGCGGCGTCACAAGACCAGAAACTGGAGGTGGGGGCAGGAATGTTTAACTCAGTCACTAAACGGGCTAGCTAGAAAAGTAAAAGTTGGCCCGCAGCGTGAGCTGGATTCCCAGCCAGGGGGGTGAACCGCAAGGCACAGCAGACCTCGCCTGAACCACCCGCTGCTCCCCTCAGCAGTGTACTTCATTGATCTGCCTGTTCTGCTCCCCGCTCTGTCTCTGGTGAAGCCTCTCACCCCTGAGCCTCTGGCCTGTACCCCAGTTCTGTATGCACAAATAAATAAACCTTTAAAAAAAAAAAAAAAAGAAAAGTAAAAGTATCCTGAGGTGGGGATATGGATGTTGGGGCCACGGTAACAAAAAACTGCTGGAGTGCTCGCTTCGGCATAGCCTGAAATTGGAACGATACAGAGATTAGTATGGCCCCTGTGCAAGGATAACACACAGATTCACGAAGCGTTCCATATTTTTATTACAGCCGAGATGAAAAGAGCACAAAAATGAGGAATGATCTAAAAATAAATATATATATATTTAAATCAAACACCCCCCCCCCCAAAAAAAAAACCACTGGACCTTTCCAATCTATGCACTCAAACCAAATTAGAAACGGTCCCTGGGCACCGACCCAATACCAGGGACTAATTTCCCAGCAGTTGCCAGTCCCACTGGGAAGAGCCCCGCCCAGAGAGAGGCAGGCCACGTCCCTGCAATCTGCCCTGGGGAGAGACAGCTCCCCTGCCCGCCTGTGCACGGGCAGGTGTTTCTCTGCTCCCACCTCTCCCTCCTGCAAAGCAGCAGCGGCCCACCTGGGCTGACTCCATTAACAAACATCCACCTCCTTCCCTTCCCTTTCTTTAACATAAACCTGTCCTAGGGCCCTCCCTGGTGGCACAATAGGTTGGAGCACAGCACAATGAGGCAGTCCCTGGCCACTGCAGCGTGAGCTGGATTCCCAGCCAGGGGGGTGAACCGCAAGGCACAGCAGACCTCGCCTGAACCACCCGCTGCTCCCCTCAGCAGTGTACTTCACTAGTCAGCCTGTTTGGGTACCCATTTTGTCTCTGGTGAATCTTCTCACCACCCCTGCACTTCTGGTCTGTACCCCAGTTCTATATGAATAAATAAATAAATCTTAAAAATATAAAACTGCCCTTTTGGATAGAACTAAATGTCTGAATAGTGGGGAAACTCTCCTGGGGATAGTCACTGGGGTGGCTGCATGGAGCACTCTGATGGAACTTTCCCAGAGGTGACGCAAGGAGTCTGCTCTCTGAACCCAAAAACTCTCCAAACCCATGTCAGTGGATCTGGTCACCCTTCCAGATACATGTCAGAGCCAGTTACCCAGGTCTTCTAGCTTCCACACCTGGGGTCCCCCAGGAAATGTCCATCGGAGGGAGGGGATGAAGGTGGAACCCTGCAAAATCTCTAGTTGGGGGCTCAGACCTGCCAGCCAGAGTCCCTGGTGATGGCCCTGGCAGCTGGGAGTGGGACTAGTACCAACGTTTTGCTCCCCAGATTTCATTCTCCTCCCCCAGTAGCCACTGCCAGGCTGAAAGAGAAGTGGACTTATGAAATGAAACACCAGGGGGTTAACATGGAAGAGCTGGTGCCCATCTTTGCCCATCTTCGCTATCACCACAGAGGTGTATTTGGGAACAAAACTGCAGCAACTCAGTAGAGGAAACAAAAGGAAAAATAAACAAGTGAGATGGATACAAACTTTAAAAGCTATTGTGCCTCGAAAGAAACCATCATAAAACAAAAAAGCAGCCAACAGAACCTGAAAATGTATTTGCATACCATGCTTCAGGCAAAGGGTTCACCTCCAAATTTATACAGCACGTGCACACTCTAAGAGCAAAGAAGCAAATGACCCAAATGAACCGTGGGCAAAGGAGCTCAAGAGTCACTTCTCAAGAAGACATTCTTGTGGTCTGTAGACAGATGCAAAAAACCTTGAACCTCTTACTTCTTAAGGAAATGCAAATGAACCACACTCAGAGACCCCTCACTGCTGTGAGAATGGTCCAGGAACGAGCCATTCCTTGACTCATGGAATGCAAGCGACAGGCACACCCCAACTGAGAACAGCTGGAGGTGCTATTAGGTGGTCACTGAGTCCGCCCCAGAGCCCACCACAACAGTGTGACACAGGGCTTGAAGGCAAGGAATGCTGAACCCAGAAGAGCAGGGAGGGGGCCCCAGATTCAGCTAGGCGTGAAGCCACTCCTGGAGCCCCATATGGGGCCTCCTCCTTGCCCAGGGGAACCCCTATCTCATGATCAGAAGGTGGCAGTCTGTCAAAGCTGAGGTACAGGCCATATTTAGGGGGGGTAGGAGAGGGGTAAAGACCTTCAACTGAGAAAACTCCAGAATAGCCAGTGCTGGAGTGAGGCTGGGAGGCAGAAGTTTCCCTAGGAAGAGGGGAAGGGTGCTGGAGACAGAACCGCCCAGATAGCCACTGATCTTGGCCACTAGCTGGACTCATGACTTCTAAAGCGACTGGATCTCAGCTTTTCTATTTGTAGAATGAGACGTGTGGATTAAGCATCATTATGAGTCTTTCCCAGCTCAAAGACAGTATGATTTTGCTGAAAATCACATGTTCTTCTTATTCTTTTTTAACTTGCATGAGAATTAAATACCTCTGTTAAAGACCGGAAAATCGTGATTCCACACATTAACTAGGAGAGGGAAACAGAACTATTTAAAGAACTTCCTGCCTCTGAGGATTTTTAAGAAGGTAAAGCATATTCCTGTCATCATTGTTTCACCTCTGGAACACAGATATAAATATCTAACCACACTCACCCACAGTGCCTCTTATCCCCTCAGGAAGGCTGTAATTGGGACAGACAGTTCTGGGGGCTGAGTGCCCAGCATGGCGAGATGATGGCGCCAGCTGGTTGGGGAAGGCAGCTGTGGGTGCCATTTGGCTTGAAGATCTCTCTACCAGTTAAGAGTACGATGAAATGGTCTCAAAAGCAGCTGCAGTCAGCTTTTTAAATGCGAAAGGGGCCAGCAGACCAGCTCCTGCAACCTATAATCACACCTCATTGTCCTCATGCCTAAGTGTAAAGAAGCACATGCTATTAAAACCTGGTCCATGATGGGAATCAAGAGGGATTTATTTCTGATTTTCCCTAATTGCCAGGAAGTCTTTAAAAAGCCATAACTTCTTTCTAAAAAGCCATAACTTCTTTCAGCAAAATAGTCAAAGTCTCATTTGTTTCTTCTCCTCTTTTTTCTGTTCTATCTCTCCCTTTATTGCAATTAACTACATCACTCTTTCTGCTATTGCTCCCCAAAGATATTATATTAGCCTAGCACTTATTTATTATTTACCAAGGCTTTTGAATCAAGCTGGGGAAAAAGAGTGGAATCAGATGATCTGTGTAACTAGCATGTTGATCAAGAAGGGCTGCAAGGTGGAATCAAAATGGGACTCTTTTTGTTTCTTACTATACCTTTGAAACTTACTTGGTGAGGATAACCTTCCCCTTGGAAGATTAGGACAATCTCTGTACGCTTCTTTCTGTTGCCTCCTCCGATTCATTCTTCACCATGACTTGTGTGAACACACTGTAAAATATCCTGGGAACAACTCCTCCCTGCTCCAGCAGACCAGAGCAAAGCCATCTCCAAAGACTTGAATTCTGAAACAGCTAGACAAAAACCTGCTGCCTGTGGGTAAACCAGCCTTTTCAACCCCACAAATGATCAAGGAGTCAGATCAAGAATTCCACAGTGGGTACCCAGCCTTTTTTTTTTTTTTTTAAAGATTTATTTATTTGTGCATACAGAACTGGGGTACAGGCCAGAGGTGCAGGGGCGGCGAGAGGTTTCACCAGAGACAGAGTGGGGAGCAGAACAGGCAGATCGACGAAGTACACTGCTGAGGGGAGCAGCGGGAGGGTCAGGAGAGGTCTGCCGCGCCATGTGGTCACCTCCGGGGCAGGCGGGAATCGAACTCATGCGGAAGTGGCTTTAGCTTCTCAGTGCTGTGCTTTAACCCACTGCGCCACCAGGGAGGGCCAGGGTACCCAGCTTTTTAGAAAGAAAGATATTTAATCCCTGCATTACTTTTTTCTGCACATAGATACTATCAACGTATCTTTAGGTCAACACTTTGAAACAGAAGCCTCCATGCACCGCACCATCAAACTAACTTCATCTTTACTGTCAGTGGCTTGTGGTTTCTAACTATAGAAACGGAAATCAAGCTTGTGTTTGTGTGAACAGCTCTCTACAATGTGCTGGTCTGCTTTCCTGGTTCTGAATCTCACTTTGATTATCTAATAACCTCTGTGTGTTACTGTCATTAAGGCTTTTATTCCAATGAACACTTTCTGGATCACGAATGAACTCTGACAATCTGCAGCAACAGCAGGACACTGAGGAAGGGAGGGAAGAAAACAAGGTCCTGGAATGTAACCCCTGCCTCCCTCCCTGGGCTTCCCAGGCCCTGGGTGTGTCCCTTTATGGAGACTGTCTCTCCAGGAGTCTACTTGGCACAACTCTCTTTCCCCTCATCCCTGTGGGTTGAGGGAGTGACGGTGTCAGCAGTGAGGCTTATTGACACCCATACTGCTAACCTGGGAGCTGAGCTATCCCTATCAACTGCCATGTATACCTTTTTTTATTTGACACTTTGTAAAGTCATTCTCCCCATGGAATCAGAATTTCAGTATAGGTTGTGAGGGAGAAGAGCTAAGTACTCTTTAGTGGCAAACAGTCAATGGCAGTATGATGGTATGCACCCCAAGGTAATCCACATTGCAATCTTCACTCCAGGTAATTGTCCTTCCCCAGGACATTGTTAGTGGCCCCAGTTGCTAGTGAGGGAAGGGCACGTGGCTGGCTCTGGCTGCTCTGTTGCTCACCTCACCTGCTCCCTGGGATTTCCCTTCCTGGGTCAAATGGGGAACACAAGGGACTGGTCTGTCATAAGCTGGTTTCGCACCCTCTGACCTGGTATGGTTAGAACCAATTCTCTCTCCTGGTCTCTCACCACCAGCTACACCTTCCTGTGACCCAGGAAAGTCTCTCCTCAGGCTGACTGTTCCCCTCAGGCCTGGTTCTGCAGAGACATTCACATTCAGAGGCTCACTACTAGAGAATCTTCATCCACCCACATTATCTTCTCCGGAAGAACTGAAGATGCTGTGACCTTCCTGCCAGCCAAGTTCAAATCTGGCTGATAACCTACCTGACTCCCCTCAATTGTGCCACGAAAACAGCTCAACAGCCCAGCTCCCCTGCCAGCCAGTGTCCCCCAGCACCCAGGATCCTTTAGGTTCTGTGCCTGGCTTCCAGAGCTCCGGAGACAGACCGAAGCAAGGGGAGGGTCCCCTCCACTTGCTCTAAAGGGAGGGAGCGGTGGAACTCGCCATCCAGCCGTCCCCAAAATACCTTCTTGTTAAGTCATTTCGGTCACCATCTTCTCATTTTAATATTGCTCAAAGGTGGAAGTTGGGTTAAAGCCTGAGGGAATTAGCGCTCCAATATCCACACGGATGATTATTCCAGATGAGGGAGGTGATTGATTACTTGATGTTGTTGGCCCTCAGCATCCATGGATCGGTTGCAGGACCCCCTTCAGACAGCAAAATCTGTGAATGCTTGACCCCTTACATAAAGAAGCGTAGTGATTGTAGATAAACTATGAACACCCTCCTATACACTTCAATTCACCTGCAGACGTAATATTCTATGACACACAGGTAAATGCTATGTAAATCATTGTACTGTGTTGCTTAGGGAATGATGACAAGAAAAGGTCTGTGTATGTGCATTATGGAGGCAACCACCTTGGGCCTAATACATGATATGTATTTTCGGTCTGTGGCTGGTTGAATTCTGGGGAACCCTAGATATGGAACACTGTACCATTTTTACCTCATCTTGGAGTCTAAGCCAAAACCTTAATTTTAACTGATGGTTAACAGATGGCTACACATGTTACTAGTTGCTAGTGAAAACAAACTGTTCAAATTGGCTTCCACCATAATCTGTGGGCTCACATCAGTAAAAGAGAAGAGTTTGGATACTAAGTCTTCATGGTTCTCACCTCAGTTTTGCCCTTGTCCGTGTTGACAAGATGGCTGCCTGAAACAAACCAAGTATGTGCCTCCTTGTTTCTGTCAAGGAAACAAAGAGAACAACTCTTCCCCCAACCACTGAATAAGAACCTTGATATTTATTCTGATCAAACAAATTTGAGAATCGAGGTCAAGTTGTTAGCCCAAGCCGATCCTTGTGTCCTGGGCAGCACCCTATGCCAGGACACAGGCGCCATCTTGTACCGGTGATGTGAAAGAGAGATGTGTCATCCTGATGGGGTTCAACTCCTGGGGACCTATTCCTGGAATTGGATGTAGCAGAGAGAACTGGGGGCTATATATCAGGAGGGAGGGCTGCTCATAAAGCAACTATTACTACACAGTCCAAGGTCATCTTGTTTACACATCTTGTTTTGTCCCCATATAAAATAGGACTTTGTAGATAACTAAGTATTTTACATTTGTACAAATATATTTGTAATGCCAGAGGAGGTCACTTTGCACTAGAGATGATTTTTTTCTATTAGACACAAAAAGCACAGGTTCTGAAGCCTCTCATATTTTTAGGGCTTCGTGAAAAAATTCAAATTTCTTTAAAAAATCAGAAGGACAGAAATCCCTCATGTCAAAGAAAATGTCTTAACATAGATTTATACATCTATCTTGTGTCAAATCAGTTGGATGATGATGGCAATTAATGGCAGGCATCCACTGAAGTATCAAGAACCTGAGACAGTGGGGTGTTAGGCAGCCCTGCCTGTATTCCTGCTTGCCTGGGATTTCCCAGCAAAGAATTTCCTTCCAATAGGAACCCAAAGTCGGAGGCAAAGAGAGCATCCCTTTGAATTCCTATTAAAAAAAATAGATGTGGGTTGAACCAACCCACATTGACAGTAGGCCTGAAAACAGCAGTCCAGGGAAGTCACGAAAAAAACCAGGGTAGGGAAGGCAATTCTGTGGGTGAAATAAAAACCTGAACTATTTGAAGCATGTTCTTCTAGTTGGAGGCTGGTGAACAAGGGCACAGTACCTTAGCGTTAAAGTGTTTTCATGCATATTACATAACGGACCTATTTAATTCACGAGGAATCAAACCCAGGGAAGAGAAAGAACTTTCCAGTTTCTGCACTGCTACTAGCTCATGACAGTGTAGACTAACCCAAGACTTCTATATCCAAAGTCTTAGCTTTTGGCTAGTGGCCAGAGTCACTAAAATTGGATGTAAGTTTTAGGCCGATAGTTTTATCTGACCAAAGTGGAGAGGGACTTAGGGCAGAGCCAAGTCTTCTGGGCCTTTCTTCCCAAACAAACTGTTAGGTTGATCTGGCATAGCTGGTCCATTCCCCTCCAGTTCTGACCTGTGGTTCATGGCTTTCTGGGGTCAGCTGAGGAAATCTGACCTAACAACCTAGGAAGTATGCCCACTCGGGCAAGGGGTGAATGGCCCCCAGTTCTGGACGACAGACACTTCCAAGCTTTCCAAACTGTTGCCCACACCCTCGTGACTGGCTGCTTCTAGCAGCACTACCCTGAGGGATCTGGGGCTGATGGAGGAAGGAATGCAGGGGAGACATCACAAGGCTGAGCCACACAAAGGTGATGGGTAGAAAGGGCTAGTGCAGTGCAGCAACTGACGCGGCCAGAAAATCAAGCCAGAAACCTGGTGTCCGGGGATGCCTGGGATGCCTGAATACCTGCAGGAGCTCCCAGCAGATAGCAGACTGTTGGGGGCTGTGCCTGAAGCTTGGACCCAAGAGGTGAAAGATAAGGACGTGGAGATGAAGCTCACCAGGAATCTCAGATTCTATTCAAAGTCAACAAACTTAGGCTCACAGGGAGTGAGCCCCTCCCAGAGAGAAGCTGTCTATATCAGGGCAGTCTCTCCACCAGCACAGGGCAGCCGCTCTCTTCCCACCTGTGGCTATGCAGGTGCTTCTTTCCACCAGCTCTCTCCCTCTGCAGGGCAGCAGCCTCCTGCCAGCTAGTGACCTGCATCTGCCGGGACCTGTCTGCAGGCAGGTTTGGGCTTCAGGGGTGCCCCTCTCTCCCTGTCCTGTAACAGATTTTGTCCTGAAACATATTTGGTGTCCTGTAACAGTGTGACAAGGCAGCACCCAGAAACGCCTACTTTCTCTATCTTGAGGGTAACAGGCAGCCAGAGGAGAGCAGGGATGGTGGAACGTGGAGCAGCCAGAACCGGCAGCAGGGGCTTGCTGGAATCAGATGCTCGCCCACCTCCACCCACTGAGCCACAATCTGTGAAGGTGGGGCCCAATCACCGTGTGGTCACCAGCTCCCAAGTGAGTCTTAGGCTCCCTAAGGTCTGAGGGGCCAGCATCTTGAGGACGGACAACGTCCCATAAGGCAGGAGTGTGCCTCAACGCCTCTGACGCTTCAGTGACGCTGTTGAGGTCTCGGAGAGGGGTTTCTGAACTGAGTGTGTAATCTGAGTGTAACTTTCCCAGGAGAGGGGCTCGCACACTTCACGAGGTGGTCCCCAGATCGCCAGCAGCCTCACCTTTCCCAGGAGGAAAAGCCAAATACAGCGACCGCCAAGACCAGCCCCGCGGAGGGCGAGCATGCGCACTACGCGGCAGCCCGCGCCCCGCCTCCTTCAGGTTCCGCCCCTCAGCTTTCCGCCCCTATTTGGCTTCCGCTCCACCCTGCGCATGCGCAGGGACGTGCTTCCCGTGACGCTCTGCGACGCGGGTGATTTGTAAACAATGTCCAGGGCTTGGTCACCCGATTGTTGCAAAAACTGCTCCTACGCCGGTTGTGCGTGTGGCGACAAGAGCAAGTGGAGCGACTCCTCGCTGTTGGGAAAGCGACTCTCGGATGACTCGAGCCGCCACCAGTTGCTGCAGAAGTGGGCGAGCATGTGGAGCGCCGTGAGCGGGGACGCGTCGGTGGCGGGCGCCGACGGGACCCAGCGCGAGGAGGCGGCGGAGCCCGCGCGAGAGGAGGAGATGCCGCTGGTGTTCCTGTGCTCAGGCTGCCGGCGACCGCTGGGTGACTCGCTGAGCTGGGTGATGAGCCAGGAGGACACCAACTGCATCCTGCTGCGCAGTCAGTTTCCGGGCTCGGGGGCCGGGTCGGGGCCGTCTTCTTCCCAGATGCGCTGCCCCTGGGCGGCCCGGGAGGAGACTGGGGTACGCGGGGTCTTTCGAGGTAGCCAGTTCGGAAAGGGTGAGCTGTGCTAGGAAAGGGGGAGGGGGCCACTTTGGGCTCACGAATCAGCGGCTTCGTGAGCATTGCACAGAAAAAAATAACCAACTAGGTTGTAGGCTTTTGGGGTGTAGCCACTCTCTAGGACTTCCCACTTCCCCCAGAAATTAGCAGGCTGTTAATCGGTAAGTAACAGTTTATTTAGGAAATCAAGGTTTCCAGCTGCCTGCTTCTTGCCAGGGGATGTCAAGATAGATTTCTGAAATCTTAGTTTAGTAGTTATCAGCGGATGACTGACAGTGTGAAGTGTTTCTTCAGAGTTGAGAGTAAGGATCAGGGTGCAGAAATTCAGCGCCAGTGTATTGATGCTCGCGGGATGTTCTTCCTGGGCTGAATCCCAGGAAGAAAGGGGTAAACCAGTATCCACAGGTTTTCTGGAACTTTTGGGGACCTGCTGTTTTCCATAAGTATGCATCATTTCAGGACCCTCCCTGATGGCACAGAGGGTTATGTCTCAGTACTATGAAGCAAATTGCAGCCTCTGCAGCCCGAGTTTGATTCCTGACCTTGCAGCAAACCCATAATGCCAGACGTCTCCCAACTTGTAGGCTGCACTCCCCGCTCCAACCCCACCCACGCCCAATGCCCAAGCTTTGTATTTCAGCCAATCTCTCTGGCTAACTCTCTCGCCCTCCTCCCACCTCTGGTCTGCATAAGTGGATGGAATCAATTTTAAGAAAAAAGGTGCATCAGTTCATTAAGGATCATTGCTGAGTCCATTTTGGTTGTTAAGCATAAGAACCTACATCTCTCATAGTAATTTGTTTGCATTATTTAGTCCTTTGCATCAAATAGGGCAGAAAGATGAAGTGACCCAAACACTGATATCCCAAGTTCATTCCCTGTTCTCAGTCCAGACATGCTTTATGCATGTATTAAAACATGTAACTTTAGAAAGACCCATGAAGTTGTATTATTTATACTGTTGAACATTCTTACCTTTTTTTATTCTGCACAAATATTCCGAGTATTTTTCCACATTAGTTGATACAGACATCGCTAACGCATCTTGAAGCTGCTGGGTGTACTCTTGCTGAGGCAACATATCCTGGTGGTGGAGGCCCTGGACTGCTCGGGTTTGAGTGTGGCCTGCTTCTTACTAGCCCTGTCTCTGCGGGCAACTTTCTTAGCTTCTCAGTGCCTCAGTTCCCTCCTCTGTAAAATGGTAAATACCTACATGGAGTAGTCACGAGGGTTAGGTGAGTTCATGTGGTGTGGGTGATGAGCTCAGAATATGTCGTAAGTGGGGCTGGAGTGATCTCCGTGGAAATGCTGTCAATCCTCCCAGTCTAGATACAGCTCCAGGTGGTTTTCAGTGTTGCCAACATGAGAACTGCATGTATTTGGGTTGAGCTTTTCAAAACTGAGCTGTAACTGGCATATCACATTTTACGAGTTTCCAGTGTCCACGGTGGTGAGTCTGTATATATGTTGTGGAAGGGGCGGAGTAAGCCCAGTGAGCCCATTTCATCTTGTGATGAAAATGTGAGATTTACGCAGCAACATTCACATCTACAACACAGTATTACTAACTAGTCACCGTGCTTAAGTTACATCCGCAGGACTCACTTATTTCATAACTGCAAGTCTGTGACTTTTGACAACCCCAGGAGTTATTTGATACAGATTTTTTGATACAGTAGGAGAAGCTCTTTTTGTAGGTGAGTTTATCTCCTTGAACAGCTTTTTAAAGCTGTTGTATTTTCTATTTTTACAACTTCCTTTCTGTCTTTTGCCATGTGGGCTCTTTTTGTTCTGTTTTATACATAAAAACACTATTCTGTTACTAGTTTTTTTAATACCAGTGGCTTTTAAATTTTAAAACCTAAACTGCTATAATTTGATTTAATCCCACACCCCAGTGAAAGATAAAGAACTTAATGCTTACTTTCCATTCCTTTTTGCCCAGCTTGAGTTAGTTTAATTATTGTTACTTGGTTTAGGTGTATAACATTTACATACTGTTCTGTAGCCATACTTTGACTCTTTGACCTTTCCCTGACGTTTAATAGGAATTCATCTCTCAGGTTTTAAGACTCCTATTCAAGTCCTTTTACATTAATAACTTTCTCACTCCTGAATTGCTGCTTGGTTAATTGCCTTCCGTGGTTCCCCACCCCCAAGAAAACCAACTTTGCTGGAAACTGTGTTTGTGCTGTCCCCATTCTTGAGAGGCAGCAGGCTGCTCTGCAGTGCTGGGTCTGTGCTCTTTGCTCCTCATTTGCGTCGATTGCATTTTGCCTTCTAATTTTACTATTTTGATAATTTCAGTGAAGCTCAGGGAAGAAGGAAATAACCCTTATTCTACCATCTTTTTCCAGAAAGACTCCTGTACATTTAGTTTTGAACCACCTTTGTGAGTGTGTCATTTTTTTCTGGCCTTCTGAGTTCTAAGATAAAAATTGAATTAGAAGCTCTTTAAATGTCTGCATGTGCATTATAACAGACCCTGTTAATCAGTTCTTGTAACTTCTTTTTAGGTGTTTCCTGTAATGTTTCTGTGGATAAGGAACAGATCCTATCCAAACGCAAAAATGAAAATGGTTGGTGAGTAAGGCTATATGTATGTGAATGTGTCTGCCAGACAAGATGTTTATTTGAAAAATAAAGGGTCACTCACAGTAAGATAGAACTCTTCCACGGTGGTCAGTACAAGGTCAGTCACTCCAACATGTCAGTTCCTGCATACCGATGGTCTCCTGTAGAGGCAGATGGAGAGTTGCTAAATTTCTGTTGGCACATTCTCACTCCCTTTGGGGCTTTGGCTTTGCTGCTGAAGAACATCCAAGATAAAAATTGAAAAAGAAAACGTGTGCATCAGGAAATCTCAGAGTCAGAGTGTGCCTGGAGCAACGCTACCCACCTCTGTCCTGTCCTGGTGCCCACAGAAATGCTGGTACCACACATACAGCAGCTACTAAGGTGGACAAAAAGGCCAGAGCAACCAGCAACCAGGCCCCTGCTGCCACCCAGGCTGCTACCAACCTCTGGCCCCCGCTACGGCTTGCAGGGGCAGCCCCAGCAGACGTGGAGGCCCTGCTTCAGCATCCTGTTGCCTGGAAGGTGTTTCACTGATGCACCGGAAATAGCTTCAGGGCCTCTGTGAACCAACGGAGAGTAGTGGTCATACGTGTTAGTGGATATTTGAAAGTGCTGGCTTTTCCTTTGCAGGGTTGCCAGGGTGGCCTTTGCACAGTAGTGTATCTCAGCGACATTTCGGGAGAGTTAAATTCCTGATAGTACAGGTAGTATGTGGCTGTGGCACATGTGGTACAGGCACTCAAATGAGCAGAACGCTGGAGAAACCAGCCTTAAGTCACTTCTCATTTTGTAGATAAAGAGTAAGTAAATCCTGGAGGGAAAGGGGGCTCGCTAGTAAGAAGTGGGGTGACACTTCTGTCTCTCCTTGTATCCTGTCCCCTGCTCATTGCATTTCATCTCTCATCATCGCGATGTCACCTTCACTGCACGTGCCATCTCCCTGCCCAGTGTGCTACCAGGGACTTAATAGTTTTCGTTACGTCGACTCAGGATTTTTACTTAAAATGATTTTAAAAGGAATCTTTACGTTACTGCCATCAGCGTCACTGCCTCCCCTGGAGAGCAGTGGGGCTATAGTTACAGTCGTAATCACAAGGGCGGCCTGTTATCAAGGGGTAGCTCAGTTGCTGTTGCCTGACTGCCCCTGGGCTGTGCTGTGAGCGCTCCCTGCTAACCGACTTGCAACCGATTTGCAACCGTGAGCCGCCCCCGAAAGCCCCTCCAGCACCCCTCCAGCACTCACTGAGCCCATCTTCACTTTGCCGTCAGCACGCATAGATTGACTCCCTCGGCCAGTGTTACTTCTGCTCGTCTCTCTTGAACTCAACGTTTATGCCACCTCACGTCGCCTTGAATTTCACCAGGGTCCTATGCCCTACACTTTTGGAAATGCCATATTGCTTTAGGGTGCACAAGAGTTTTCTGACAGGCTGCCTGTCTGCCTCCCTGCTGCCAGAGCCACCCTGCAGATGGCCGGCCAGGGCGCGCGTGGGTTTGCAAATTGTTAGAAAGGGAGCAGTGCCGTGTCCCACAGTCACCGAGTCATCTGTTCAGATTCTCACGAGCTAGCTCACCCCTCGTCTGCAGTCACCTAGGGCTCACTGTTTTCCTTTTTCTGGTCAGGGTGAGTTCTGGCCAATTTCGCCCCAGCTCTACATGCAGAGATGGTGCAACATCAGTCGTTACTCTCTACATGGCTCCCCAAGACTGCCCTGTGTCAATGAATGGGCTTGTCGGTGATGTTTAGTATGATTTTGATAATTCGGGAGAAAACAGCCTCACCCATGGATGAGAGTATTTTGTATTTTAGGTTTATCTAAGTGTGCTTTCTTGGCTGATGACACGTGTCTCGGTGATAGGGCACAGCCACCTTGTGACTGTACAGCAGGGAGAGCCACTGGCCCGATGGTCGTATGCTGGGGTTCCCTTCTGAAGCTTATGACAGCCGATGGGAGCTTTAACTTAGTCGATCAGTCATCAGCGAGAGTTTATAACTTATTAGCCCGGGAGCCACTTGGTTCTTTTTCCGTATGTTGCTGCCTGATTCCAGGTGTCTGGGTGTCTGCAGTGACTGGCGATGCTGGTGGTGTTGGTGGCTCCATTCTGCTTGATGGCAGGAATAGCTCCTTAGTCGTCACGAGGGCTTCACAGTAAGCACTACAGTGCTTTTGAAATAACATTTTTTTCTGGTGGTGTATTATGATCATTAGCAGATTTAATTTGCTTGTGTTGGGGTGTAATATAGCGTAGAGACTGATTTGTAGCATGAGCAATTTGATAAGGCATTTGGGAGATGGAGAATTCTAAGATTTAAAGAATTTAAATAAGTTGGCATGGAGGGCAGGGTTTGCAAATATGCAGAGCTTGCATTGAGAAGTAGCTGGCATGAAGGAACAGTTAACTGGTGACACTAAGTAAAACAGTTGTGAATTACCCATGTAGAACATGCCCGTAGTTGGCGCTGGTGTGTAGCTTTTAGCAAAGGCAGCGGTAACATACACCTGGTAAGGATTTGAGTCAGGAACCAGGCGGGGCTCAGCTGGTGCAGGGAGGAGCCCCCACCGGGCAGCTTGCCCTCTGCCTCTGCGGTCATCTTTCCTAGTTGCCGGGGACATTTGCTCTCTGCCAGAGTAAATCATCTGTAACTTCTGTAAAATCATCTGTAACTGCAGGCCACCAGCTATCTTTAGTCTAAAGTTCAAACGCCTTAACCGCGTCTGAGGAGTAAGCAAACACCGCGGCCTCCACTAGAGTGAACCAGGCCCCTGTGTGTGTGCCCACACTTCTGTAGGGACACACAGTCCGCCCAGTGACCGCTGGCCGGCTGCCTCCATGCTGCGGTGCAGAGACGGCCTGCAAGCCCAGGGCATTTATTCTCTAGATGGTGACGAGAAAGTGCCTTCCCTGCCCCAGAAAGTGAGTGATCCCAGGTGGCCTTGCGGGACACGATAACATGACAGGTGGAATCTTTTTGTCTTATTTCTAGATATTAGACTCTTCTTAATGTCAGGTGGAGGCATTTACCTTCTAGAAAAACTGCACTTAGGTATAGTCTCTCTCTTGTCACATATATGTCACTTGTTGCTAGGTGCTTAGGGAAGAGCGGCCTAGAGACGGCTGGCTACATTTCTAATAAGAACATCTGACTATCATCTTTTCCTCCTTTATACATAACACTTGCTACAACTTGAATGTTTACGCGTCTACGGGTGCTAACGGGGTTTTGCTGGAGGCTGCGCCTTGTGTCTGAGCGCTGGCGTCCTCTCTTGCAGCATTCTGCAAACGTTGTACTGCGCTGGGTGCTCACTCAACCTTGGCTTCGTGTACAAATGCACCCCCAAGGGTCTAGACTACAAGAGGGACTTGTTCTGCCTCAGTGTTGAAGCCATCGAAAGGTGAGTTAGATATATGAATGCCTCACAACTGATTTCTCAGAAAGTTGTGTGCAGAGAAACTGATAAGAAAACTCTGGAGCAGAATCAGCACTGTTAACATATATTTCCAAATAATTTTTTATCTGATTTGTTTGGTGTTGGAAAAGTCAGACAATCTGAAAGTCAATCAGAAAGTCATGAAGAAATGGGAATTCCTGCATCTAATAAAGAATGATCTGCTGTTTGGAGAGCTGCAAGAAGGTACCTTTCCTGTCCAGGATTTCTAGAAGCGTTAGGGCACAGGCAAATTAAGGGCTGATGTCAGGCGTTAAAGAATTTCGGCTATCTTAGTGGCCTCCTAATTCATCAGCCTTTGTAAGGAAACAAATCGGTGACTCCAGGTGTCTCCACTTATGCTGGAACAGCAGTAATCCTCAAGGCCTCAAGCACGCGTGAGAAACCTGACATCAGGAAAGGAGAACAATTCGGGAGAAAAGAATGCCCATACTTTCACTGGTAGAGGGGCTTGCCACTCCATTACTTTTGATTCTCTCCTTAAAAATTTAAACTATTCTGTTTTGATAATTATAATTTCCCATCTAATTATTCTTTAATAACTGCTGTTCTGCCACCTTGTTTCTTAGGTTTAGATCACCACATTTAAGTCTGCGAACTTTTTATAGTCCTTATACAAAAGAATAAAATAGGAAGTAGTGTTCACTGTTGTAAAGCACGTAGGTCTGTCTGGAGAGATACCACATCCGTTCTGTTTTTTTTTTTTTTTTTACATGAAAAGAATATCTAGACACAAATAGATGCTCTTAACCTAGGCAGTGGAGCGTACAGGTGTAAAGATGTGAAATGTTCATCCAGTCGGACTGGTCTAAAGCTTTAAAAAGTAATGCATTCGTATACAAGAAGACAGCAGATTTTGCCACAGGAAATGATAGTAGTGAAGCTGTTTTTTCCTAAGCAGTTGAATATAGGGTAAAATTTACCTCTGGGGCAGGCAGGATTTTGATGCCAAAGAACCTGGCTTGTTTTGGCGTGGACCCCTCTGCAGGGTGGACCCCTCTGCAGGGTGGACCCCTCTGCAGGGTGGACCCCTCTGCAGGGTGGACCCCTCTGCAGGGTGGACCCCTCTGCAGGGTGGACCCGTGCTGCTCTGCTGCTCAGCGTCTCCAACTTCTCCACCTTGTCTCATGGTTCTTTTCTGAACATATCAATTGCCTTTGTAATTTTTTTGTCCCCAGTCATTTCTCAGAAATACAATCAATAGGGTTTCCAAGAGAGGACTTTTTACTTCGCAAAAGAAGTGACATAATGAAAATGCTGAATGTGCTACACGCGCTTCTAAAGAAATGCAAATAAACTGAGTTTTCTTTGGAGAAATACCAGCACCTTTTCCTTTTCTCTGGCTACAAATGCTGGGCCTGTTTTCCTCCTGCTCCTGACCAATTTCTCCTTTTCAGAATTTTCTAAGCCACAGTATCTCATCATCCCAGAAAGTTCTAGCAGGCCTAATGGGAAGGTAACTGTTGAAGTTGCCTGGAGCAGGCAGAGCTGCGCTACAGATGATTATTTGCAAAAAGTCGAGTTCAAGGGTACACAGGTTCCTTGAATTTACAGCCAAAAAGCTGTGGTTTTCTCTAGATTCTTAACTTTAAAACAGAGCTTTGAACTACAAGTATTGTTTTGCCACAGGTTACTAAAGAGCAATGATGAAACACAGAATTAGGAATGTGTAGGAATATCTGGATAACTCTGTTGTGGCCATTAACAGAAATAGTTGTTTTTTGTGTTCACTTGGTACTAACCTATAATGTAAAATACTTAGATTTTGTATTATTAGCAGACATTTAATATTTGCTCCCTTTTCACATTTTAAGTTTTTGCTTTGCTGTGTTTCAGTTATGTCTTAGGGTCCTCTGAAAAGCAAATTGTGTCAGAAGAGAAAGAGCTTTTTAATCTTGAAAGCAGAGTTGAAACAGAAAAATCTCTAAAACAGGTAATTTTGTTCTGTACCTTTTATATTTCTATCTGGACAGCTCCGTGTCGGTGCCCTCCACAGATAATCCTCATGACATCTGTTTGACCTCAGCACTTTCACAGAAGAGAGTGCTGACTTCATTTCACTCATTAGTAAAGTCATTTTTGGGGGAACTGAATTACAACTTAAGCTAAAGTTTTATTTAAAAAGCAACAAGGAAGACATTTCTTGCCAGAATCAAAACAGAATATATTCTAAAACTATTAAACTAAACATAGACCTTTTACTCCAATCAGTATTTCATTTGATTCAATCCTCTTAGTATAAACAGCCTTATTTTTTGAATTTTGGCATCTTCTCGTGGCCAGTGAGGCAAGAGAGTGACAAGCACAAAAAAGAGCGACAGATCAGAATTTGAGACCTTTAATACTGTTAATAGAATTGGATCTTATTTAAGTGAAATTTAGTTTAATGCCTCTAATTCCATTAAATATTGACTGTGTGTAGTGTACAGTGTTCAGAAACTGTAGATGTACTTAATGTATGTTTTAATCATTTAATCATATAATATGACTTCAATCATAATTGTATATTTAAAAATATTTCTTCACTTCAACAGATGGAAGATGTTCTGAAGGCATTACAGACGAAGCTGTGGGAAATTGAATCGAAAATCTCCTTCACTACTTGCAAGAGCTGAATATCTGTTCCAAATTCCCCATTTTGAATGCCCCAGCCAGTGGAAAATACTTTCATCTCTACCTGTTCTTGTTTCATTTCACTTCATTTAGAACTGAAGACATTCTAAATGGCCGTTCGCTGTATTCTCACAATGGTCTGAGAAAGAGCATGCCAAATTTTTTGCAGCTCCATTTGCTGGCATAGAGATGATTATTGGCCAAATTCAAATTTAAGAGTAATTTTCTGATATTTGGTGAAATGGCAAATGTAGAGGTTTTTATTTTGATACAAAACTGAGATTTTCTGGACTATTTTCTTCCCCCTATCAAATTCATTATTTCCTTTTTTTTTTTTTAAAGTTATTTTTCATTTAATACTTTGGGCAGTATTTAATAGTGAATAGTAAGAAAATGCTAGAGGTTTTTCCACCTACTGTGTAGTTGAATCTTCTCTGAAACCCCAGACCGTAAAGCTCTGGGGAAAATGATCATTGAATTATTTATCACAACTATGTGAAAACTTGCACAAGAGCAGAATAGCTTATATGTATTCGAGAATTCCAGTTGATCCTGTTTGTTTACTATTGTATACCTTCAAATGTTTGGAAGATTTACTTTAGAGAGTAGTAATCACTGAGGGTGGAATTCTGGGGAAATTTTCTGTTTTACTTTTCTATAAGACTTTTTATAATCAGGAAGAGAATAAAGATGAAAACAAAATGCTTTAAGGTTAATTTTTATGAGGTGGAATTGTGGTACTTAAAAGAAACTTGATGCCATGAATTATACATATTTGACAGACACACACTGTGCCAAGCTCCTTCGGAATGGAGAACAAACCCCAGATTTCCCCAGGCTCATTTCTGATGTGGGTCCACATGAGGTTACATAACAGTTCCCAGGGTGTACGAGTAACTCCCTCAGTTTCTGCTCAGAAGGTCCCTAATCAGTTCTGGGAATACTTCAGATCACCACAGCAGAAGGTACCAAATTGGACTAACTAAATCTTTTACAATTATTGAGTTCTTTTTGGTAGACCTGTCAGTAGCCTCTAATAATTAAAAATTGTGAGTCCCCCATGGTCTCCTTTCTCAGACTCCCTGCCGGGAAGCATAGTGGCATGGAAGCTGCTAGATCGGTCCTTCAGCCACCCCATAAGGGCGCTCTCCAGTTCATGGAGGTATAGAAAGTGATACTGGACCTTCCTGGACGACCACAGAGACAGTAGGAGGATGTAGGATCTGTTGAGCAAAGTCTTGTCATGTTCATAAATTGCCCAGCCGACAAGTCTACTTCCTCCCTCTCTGAGGAAAAAGCGCTGCTTCCCCTTGTTTGTAGGGAAACCCAGGTCTTCCCTGTGTGTTCTTCCCGGTGTGTGTCCTTTATTCTATCACTGTGATACTCTGGTCAGAAGTCCAGAGACTTCCCCCACAACCAGGCAACTCTGATGCCAGTTGGGGTTCCTGCACTAGTGCAATTCAGCACACTCTGGAGAGAACATCAGATCCCACAATTAAGGGTTCAGTCCCCACCCCTCCCCCATTCACTTCTGGACCTGGTGGCAAGTTCAGGTTGTTACCTGTGCTGCTGGCTATCAGAGGTTCTCCCGGGGTTCCCATGTACTACACACTGATCCCCCTTGTATTCTACACCCCCTTGGGTCCCACTCATTCACAAGAGCAGCTCACTCAGGGATGTGCCCACCAGTTCATTTTAAAAGGCTATGAGGAAGGATACAGATGAATACCTGGTAGAGTTCTGGGAGCCTCAAGTATGGGAGCTTCTGTCCCTGTGAAGTTAGGGTGTGTCATCTTCATGGTGTGCAGATGTGTTCACCCACCTGGAAGCTCTCCCCAAACAACTGCTACTGGGATTGGGGGCCGGGGGCTACTCACAGTTATGGCCACACATTAGCTTCATTCTAGCCTCTCTGAGGAAGAGGGGTTGTGGGGCTGAAAATCCCATGCTTCTTACAAAGGCTTGTTTCTGGTGACTCGTCCTTATCCAGGAGCCCACTTCATTAGCACACAGACACTCCTGTCACACAGGAATCACCAGATCTAGGGATTCTGTGTGAGGAAGCGGTCAATACATTTTCCCTGTGACCTCCCAGCCTCTTGTCTCTTCTCACTTCCTCCTTAAACTTCACCTCTTGCCTCAATTGTTCCATTGGTCTTCATGCTGACTTAGCCCCTGACACAGGCACCACAAAATTGTCAAAGGACTACATGTTTGACATTACTCCATAGCACACAAAATAGACCCCACAGGGTTCTCCAGGTCTACCCAGCCCCCCCCCTGCCCCCCTAACTTTACCTATCTGGCACTTTAAGTTTTTCACCAACCAGAACATTCTCTTCATCTCACACCTGCCCTTTTTCTATGTATACAGCTCTTAACTAGTCCTTTAAGGGCCTACTTGAGTGACACTTCCTCCAGGAAGCCCTTCCTGATTTCTTGGTCAAAAGTAATTTATCTTTCCTACCTACCTGAGTGATACTTCCTCCAGGAAGTCTTTCCTGATTTCTTGGTCAAAAGTAATTTATCTTTCCTACCTACCTGAGTGATACTTCCTCCAGGAAGTCCTTCCTGATTTCTTGGTCAAAAGTAATTTATCTTTCCTACCTACCTGAGTGATACTTCCTCCAGGAAGTCCTTCCTGATTTCTTGGTCAAAAGTAATTTATCTTTCCTAAGTCACTTCAGAATGTTCTCACATCAGTACTTGGACTGATTTAAAGTTCTGTGGGAATCCTGCAAGACTAGGGTGTTTTTCCCCTTGGGGCCCCAAACACTAGGAGGTCTTGTAGATTGGAATTACCTCTTCATCTTGTAAAGTGAAGGGAGCAAGTTTCAACCCCCTTGGGATCTACTTTGTATAGTTAGGACAGTAAAAGGACAAATCTGAAGACAAAAACCAAAAATCAGAAAAAAAATATCTGGAAGTGTTTGAACCTGCTTTTAATAGTTCAGAATTGACATATAAGAATAAAAAGAAACTACCAAATGCAGTGCTGTGTTGGGTAAGAATAAAGTCTTAACGGTGTAAATAGGAATCCAAGGGAAAATTACCAAACTGAACTCATCTGCATGTATAATTACCCACCTGTGATCATTCTGCTGTCTTATCTATTCCATCTTCCTCCTCCCACGCCAAGTTAAAAATATTTCACATCAAAAAATTTTTTTTCTCTTAACGGGATTCAATGAATTCTTGGAAGAGGGGGGTGCTGGGTGTAAATGCCACTCTGCCAGCTGAGACGCAGCATTTCCGTGGGGTTCAAGCGTGCTGCCGTGTGGGTGCGAAGCTGTCGCCAAACATCCTAAGCCAACTTCTGACAGACAAGCACAAGGATGCCTGGAAGCCGGCGACTTGCTGCAGTGTCCGGTAAACGCGCGAGCAAACCCGGGCTTCTACCGCCCTGGGAATCCACAGAGCGCGTCCTGGGACCCCCGAGCCAGTGGGCCCTCTTCTGAGAGCCCTGGATGGGGCAGGGGCAGGGCTGAGCCTTCATGGACCGCTTTCTTGGGGGAGGTGGGGTATGCGGGAAGGTCGCCTCAAAGCTGCGGTAGAGCAGCCCTAGAGTCAGAACGTGCAAAAGCAAAGTGGCAGGTCGTCCAGGTTCCCTAGGGTGTGTCTGGGGAGGAATGTAATCTCTGGGGACGCCGTCGTCGCGGGACCTGTGTCCCTGGAGAGGAGGCCCTGCTGGAGCCGCCGGCCCGCTCGGGGGAGAGCATCACCCCTGCAGCTCCTCAGAGACGCAGGCCCCGGGCCCTGCCCCGGCGGGTTCAACTTTAAGACACGCCGGTGAGATGGCGCGGATGAACAGCTCTGCTCACCTGTGTGGTCCAGACTCGGGTCAGGACGCCGCGACTCTTCTGCGCCTCCTCGGACGCCGGAACGCGGGTCAGGACGCCGGAACGCCCGTCGGGACGCCGGAACGCCGGTCAGGACGCCTCGCGTCGCAGTCGCGTGCTCATCCCACCACCAGGGGCCGCGTTTCCCCGCGGAAGCCTCTGGGAGGCAGCCGTGCTCTCTGGACGCTGTCAGCCGCACCTGCCGCACCCCACCTGGAGTCTGCTCCGCGCCCGAAAGCAACTTAATGACCATAACGGTCACGGCCTCGCGTCACGGCCTCGCGGCCCGGCCGCCGCGCACGGCCAGCAGCCTGTGTGATCCGGAGCCCTTCCCGGGTTCTCCCTCCTACTGCGCCGCCAGCGTTTCCCCAAATTTGACTTTCCTACCGGGAGGTGGGTCTCGAGCCTCCCCAAGTCATTTCTTAGCCTTCCCTGACAACTTCCACTATCCCCCTCCCTCAAGGCCTGTGAGTACCGACCGCAGTGCAATTGCCACGAGTGTCCCCAAGACACCCGTTTCTCATCACCTCGCCAAAGAGTCTGACTCATGTGGGTTACCAGGAGTCACCCCATGCAATAAAGCCAGTTATTCCTTTGGAAAGGTGATGAAACGGTCTTATCTTGTTACCATTTTATTTGGGTTAAAACATTTTCCAGACTTTAAATTCAGACAGTTCTATTTTCATCCACCCATCCATCCACCCATCCA